TCCGCGGCTTCATTCCCCCCTTCCGATCTGGCTAATCTACATGCCTCCGTCGAAGGAGGCATGTAGTCTAGACACACCCATAGGTACTCCATGGCAAAAGAGGTAGGGTAACTCATGACTGTGAAAGCACTATCAACAGGAACACACCTCTGCTCCCTTCCAGCCCAGCCAATTTATGAATTTCCTCACAACTAATGGATGTGTACCGTGTTGTGCCAGAAGCCCCACTTCGGGTCTGGAGCCAATAGAACTAGATGTTGTACATGTGCAGCAAAAGTAGAGTCCTGGCCTCTATTTTTAAAATCTAAAGCTCTGAGCTTTTAGGACGTTATGTGTGAGCTTTACACCAAGAGTGGGAGCTGACCCATAGGCTCCTAAACACTTTCATAGAATCACAGAATTTGAGGCCAGGACAGATGATTAAATCAGACCATTAGTCTGACCTCCAAAGGCCACTGATGGCTCATCTAGACTACAGGGAAGATTCGAAAAAAGAATATGCAAATATCTGTGTGTCGCCCAGATATTCCTAATGGGGAGCCCATTGACATCTGTGAGATGAAAGTATTTCATTCCTCAGGAAACTCAACTGGTTGTGTGTCATAGGTTGAGAGTGGGAGGAACCAAGGGGTAACCAATGCCCGACACCCCTGGAATGGTAAGTAATTGGTTAGGTGAGATATGCTCAGATGATCTGAGCAAGCAACAGCCCATGCTTCAAAATAAAGTCAAAAAGGTCCCGAGCAATCTGATCTTGGGAGAAACTCCTTCCCAACCCCAAATCGCTATAGACATACATCCTTTGCAGCACTGGGGGGGGCTCAGCGTACAGCCCTGGGCAACAACAAATAGGTGGGGAACGCACCAGATAACAGCGAGACAATGTTTAATGATTCTCTCGGATGTGCATCTAGCCTTTCATTTGAACTAGGAAAGCCATGTTTTCAGAAAGGGCTCGCCTCGCTGCACAGCCTGTGACAGAACAACTGCTCTAACGACTATTTTGATTTCTCATTGTAGTGCTCCTATGTTCCAGACAACTCGGAGAAGAACAAAGAAGGCAAAGTAAAAAACGTTACAGAAAACTTCAGAAAGTATCAGACTTTCCCTTGTTACTACGACCCAGGAAGAGAAGAGACAAGTGTCCTCTTAACGAGGCTATATACGCCAAAGGGCCTTTTGTTCGTTTTCTTCTGGCCTTCCCTTATGATGACTGGTGGAGTGCTGGTTATCATCATGGTGAAAGTCAGTCAATATGTTTCTGCACTTTCTGCTCGGCAACACTAAACTAATAGATCATCCTCCACAACACAATGAGCTCAAGTTCCCTTTGCCCCACCCTCTATCCCCTGTATTTTGTAATTCTTCAAAATGTACTATGTTCAGTGGTCAGAGTTCTAGTGAAGAGAGACGTTGTCTGAGTGTATATACTGTGGTTTACTGCAAGTCAGACATAAAATAAGACCAATACGTGAGGTTCCAGGGATTGCACAAGAACTATTCCATGCTTTTTGGGTGGTAGTTTTTTGTTTTCAGACATCTGTCAATTTTGTGGCGGGTTTGAGTGAGTTTTGTTTTACAAAAGCGAGGTTAAAAATTCAGCATTCAAAGTTGCTGACAAAGAGCATAATGTACATTTGGGGGTTGATTTTCAGAAAGTCGAGGTCAGACATCTACATGCATCTTTCTGTGCTGACTTTACCTACACAGTTAGGGCACATCTACACTGTGCGGAAAAATCAACATTGCCAGTCAATCTTTTGGGGTTTGCTTTAGTAGGTCTAGTATAGACCCACTAAATCAAACCCAGAGGGCGCCTCCATTGGCACCAGTATTTTTGATCGTCATGAGGAGTAAGGGAAGCCAATGGAAGGGTTTGCTCCTGTCAACCTCCCACTGTGTGGACAGTGCAGAAACAGGATGTAAGATATGTCGACTCCAGCTATGTAATTTACATAGCTAGAGTTGAACATCTTACTTTGACCTTCCGATGTAGTGTAGGCCAGGCCTTACTGGAACTGTGTTCATAAAAGGCAGCAGGCTTTACCTGAGAGTAAAGGAGGGCTGATTGCACAAAGTACACAAAGATGTGTGTGGTAGTATGCATGAACTGCAACTGTCACTCTTCTGAAAAATCAAGCGTTTAATATTTACTTTTATAGGATTCTACACACACCAGTGCGCACGCGCGCACACACACACACACACACACACCTGTGCACGCGCACACACACACAAAATGTACTTTTTAAAGGGGTAGAATTTTTGTAAAGACCAACTTTTGCAATTATGCGCCGCTGCTTTGGTTCAGTTTTGGAGTAGCTACAAGGTCTGCCTTTGAAAATGCTCTTTTTCCACCTGTAACTCACATATAATATTAAGAAGTCAAACCAAAGAGGTTAAAAATATGTGAAGATTGTGTACTTCAAACCATCAGCAAGTTGTGTGGAGAAGGAGTACAATGAATTCACATGAGCTTGAGAGATAAGGAAGGGGGTAGAGACAGGAAATGAGAGAGAGCACATGTCTTGCCTGGACAATTTAATATCAACAAAGAAAGGTCTGATGCTTACAATGATGAACTGTTCTCTGAAAAGGACTGTTGCTCTCAACTCAGCTTCCAATTCCCTGCAGTGTACAATGGGAATACAAAACACACTGTATGTAATGTGTTTGACTGGCACTTGTGACATGGCTAGCACAGGGCCTGTTCTGTGAACAGATGTGTCAGACTCACACACACAAAAAATCAGAGTTAGGCCTCAGATTTTAAGTCCATCGAGTGCCTTGGAAAAAATAATTCCATTTTCACTGAACTGTGACATTTCTGACTGTCTGTTGTAGCACAAACAAGGGGCACACTGAAACAATAAAAAATCTCCACACATTGTAGCCTCTTAAATGTCTTTTCTAAAGTTCTTGGTGTCTTACAGACAAGAGTACATTGGCAGGAAGCAATGGGAGACCACAAAGATCTTGAATCCCTGTATGTAAAATTAAATCAGCTGAATCCAACTCAGAACCATCAGCTTTTCATTCATGTCTATACAATCAGTTGGGCATCTTAGTTCAAACCCTTGTGGACAAGTGTTCACAACAGACACCTTTGCAATTAGCGTTCTTGCTGGCACCCTCAGTAGAGGAAGGCAAGATAAATTCTACATGGAGAATGCATTTGTTGCTAAACGTTAATGGGGTGGTTCCTCCATGTCCGGGGATGTGGGAGATCTTTGCATTGTCTCTGCCACGCCAAACTTCACCTGGGCCTGGATGAATTCATTTTCCAGATTTTCCCATCACCACCATGAAACTAACACAAACCAAAACAATGGTAAAAAGTAGAGAATGCATGTGAGACACTTAATACATTCATCTCAGAAGCCAGTAGAGGAGGATCTACCTTTCATCCCCTTTCATTGTTAAGAGTGAGAGATCAGTTAGTCGTATTCTCCAATTGTTTCCCGGCATTTGGGGATATTAATGTCATGATCACAATTATGCTTCTGTCATCTGCTTTAGACCAATGACACAGAACTGTCACTCTCTCCCACCACTGTACCCCATATGCACACCCAGCAAGACTTCAAAAGAGATGCTATGATTGACATTAGAAAGTACAGGTTGAATCTCTCTAGTCCGGCACCCTTGGGACTTGACCAATTCTGAACCAGAATTTTCTGAACCACGGGAGATCAATATTTTCTAGCAACATTACCAACACTTTCACTGCTTATGGGGCTAGAGGACATTTAGGGAATTTCTACACTACATGGCTCCGTCGACGAAGCCATGTAGATGAGCTTTTAGACATAGCAAAATGAAGCGGCGGTTTAAATAATCGCTGCTTCATTTACATCAAAATGGCTGCCGTGCTGTGCCGATCAGCTGTTTGGCGGCACAGCGCAGTAGCCTGGACGCTCTGTGGTCGACATCAAAAGCCTTTGTTGACCGCTCCGGTAAACCTCATCCCACGAGGCATAACGGGGCGGTTGACAAAGGCTTTTGATGTCGACCGTGGAGCGTCCAGACTCATAGAATCATAGAACCATAGAGCTGGAAGAGACCTCAGAAGGTCATCAAGTCCAGCCCCCTGCTCTAGTCAGGACGAATCCCAACTAAATTAACCCAGCCAGGTCTTTGTCAGGCCGAGACTTAAACACCTCTAGGGATGGAGACTCCACTACTTCCCTAGGTAACCCATTCTAGTGCTTCTCTACCCTCCTAGTGAAATAGTTTTTCCTAATATCCAACCTGGACCTCTCCCACCACAACTTGAGACCATTGCTCCTTGTTCTGCCATCTGTCACTACTGAGAACAGCCTTTCTCCATCCTCTTTGGAACCTCCCTTCAGGAAGTTGAAGGCTGCTATCAAATCCCCCCTCACTCTTCGCTTCTGCAGACTAAACAGACCCAACTCCCTCAGCACAGCACAGGATCCATTTTGATGTAAATGAAGCGGCGATTATTTAAATTGCCGCTTCATTTTGCTTTGTCTGCAAAGCTCATCTACATGGCTCTGTTGATGGAGCCATGTAGTGTAGACATATCCTTAGGGGTAAATTAAAGCTAAATAAGAACTCATAACACTGACAGCTAGGACTGGTGGCTATTTGGAACCATGGGAAACTTGGCCAAACACATGAAAAGTGCCCATCCAGCTAACCAAAATCATTCCAGATGACGGATGTTTCCAGACCAGAGAGGTTCAACCTGTAGAAAGAGGCGACAAACCGTATATGCTATTGATCTCCTCCCACAGTTGACCGCCTTTCCCTCCAAGCTCATCTGGGTGTTTGGGTTGGTTCTAGTTCCATCTGAACCAGCCTACCCATCCTTTTTGATTCTCTGTAAAATTACTAATGTGTACTACCGTATTTTCCGGCGTATAAGGCGACTGGGCGTATAAGACGACCCCCTAATTTTCCAGTTAAAACATAGGTTTTGGCCTATACTCGCCGTATAAGACTACCCCCCCTTCCGAGGCAACACCATTTAATAACATCAGATTTGATTTAAATAATTTTAATTAAAATGGTTTTGACTTACCGGTACTTAAAATCCTTCAAAATCCTCATCATGTTCATACAAAGCCTGCTCGGATTGGCAAAGGTTGTAATAGCCCGCCTCTCTGACTCAGCCAATCCGAGCAGGCTTTGTTTGCATTAATAGATGACACCGCTTGCCGTGATTGGCTCAGCGCGGTACATACAGTATCAGCACAGGGACGTTCTGTATGTAGCCGAAGCTACAGTACTGTATTAAGGCACATCCAGAGGGCTAAAAGGTAATAATAGGGACATTCTGTATGTAGCCGAAGCTACAGTATGTTTATACCCGGCGTATAAGACGACCCCCAATTTTTGGGGGATGTTTTTTAGTATAAAAAGTCGTCTTATACACCGGAAAATACAGTAGTAGTCAGCTTTCTCCAATTTTAGTGTGTTATACTTTTTCAGAATAGGCTTTTGCTTTTTTTTAGGGTCTGGCATTTCAGGTCCTATTCAAAACATGGAAACCCAACATTCTGCTCTTCAACAACAAACCATAGAAGTCTGTTCGCGTTTTTAAAACAATTTGGTAAAACTGAAATGAATGGGTTATTTTACAAAATTGGTGTTTCAAAAGAAAAATCTAGACATTTGTTTTCTTAGCTAATAATTATTCCACCAGCCTTGCAATGGAAACTGCAAGTGCTATGAGACATCAATATGTTGTTATCTGGTTACATTATAGCTTCCGTAAGCATCTTTCTATCTGCTGCATAGCTATGATGCTGTAACTTCTCTCTCCCATGAATCACAACAGTTATCTCTATGCCTCCAGCATAACCGCACAAGGGCTATTTGGCTTCTTGCATTAGTGGCTTATAATTGCAAAGTCTAAAAAGGCGTAAATAAAAACAGACCTACATGTCACAGATTCTGAAGAATTCTTCCTACAAAATGCATACATTACAAAGCCAGTAGTGCCCAGAGTGATTAGCTACTCTGACCTCCTGGGGTGGTAGAAGCTCCTTCAATGGAGGTTTACAAAAGGAGGCAGGATAGCCACCAGCCTTGCATGGCTTAGAAACTGAGGGTATGGGGTATGTGTGGAGTACTGCAGAGGAGCTGGGGTTGGGGGGAAGTCAGGTCAGTGTGTGTGGAGGGGTTCAGGAGTGGAGCAGAGGGATTGGGGGAACACAGGACAGAGGGTTTGGGATGTGTGTAGAGGGGTGCAGGAGTCAGGCAGGGGTTAGGGGTATGGGGGACTCATGGCAGGGGGTTGGGGGTTGTGTGTGTGTGTGTGTGTGGGGGCTCGTGGGGGGGGGTGGGGGTTTGTGTGTGTGTGTGTGTGTGTGTGTGTGTGTGTGTGTGTGTGTGTGTGTGTCTTGGGAATGGTGGGGGGGGCAAAGGCACCATTTAGGAAGAGTGGGGGGGCTGAATCCTCTCCCCCTCAAGATGCATGCTAGAATGTTGCTTGCTCTTCCCTTCCTAGTCTCTGTCAGGGAGCCGGAGGGAAGCACACCGCTTACATCACTTATTCTTCTACCCCTCCCCTCCCCAGCTGGGAGTGAGGGGAGTGCAGGCAAGTTGTGTGCTTTCTTCTTGCTCCCTGGGAGTGATGGGAAGGGGAAGGGCCAAGTAGCATCCTGGCCTGACTCTGGGGGGGAGGGGTTTCCAGCCCCTCCTGCCTTTCCTAAGTAGTGCCCGGTGGGAGAGAGGGCTAGGGTTGGGGCAGTCCCTGACCAGTAGGGGGACTCGGGGCCGTTCTGGTCATTACCAGGTTACTTGGCTATGGACGGGTCCTTGCTCCATACCTCTCCTAATCCTCACTGTCCGACGTGCTGCCGGTGTAGAGAGAGGGGGGCAGCATTGGCTGGGATGCAGTTTCCCCACTAGGAGCCCAGGTGGGAGCACACACGCCTCCTACAGGTGCCCCTAGACAGCCCCTTTCACCTGCCTGGCTGCATGCAACTTAGCACACCAGCCTGCAGAAGGGATCTAGGAGCCTGGCTGGTAGCGCACCCCACCTCCTTCTGCAGTGGAGCAGTGCAGACTGGCCTGCTCCTTCCTCCTGGAGCTGCGCACAGGGGTGTGCCCCCTAACTTCCACCTCTGCTCACCCAACTTGTATCTCTACTCTCCTGGAACCGACAGGCTACAACAACACTGCCCATCAATGGGAGAGAGGGTTTAGTAGCAGACACAGGACTGTGCATAACAATGGGGGAGATCACTTTGATGAAGGGAACAGGACGTCTGTAGTTTCCACACAGAGATGACAGGACAACTCTGGTTTACAGTTTTTCTGCAGGGGATAGCCTCACTGAATACATCCCTCGAAAGAGCTGCGTAGCAACACAGGTGCTAGGATTGAGAGAGCAAGCAGCGAAGACAACACTGTGCACTGATATTTTCCATGTGCAGCCCACTTCCAAGGGCACCTCTCCTCGTTGACTCTTAATGACTAGTGAATAATTCACAGCTCTGCTGGGAAAATGAATCTGAAGTGGGAAGTGCCAACTGGAAAAGCCAAGGTGCTGCAAGTGCCAAAGGAAGCTGCTTAGCAAGACAACCCGAGCGGAATGTCAACAACCTGGCACCATCACACGATCCACATTAATTTAGATGCAAAAGAAAATCCCAAATAAGCTTGATTAACTCTATGAAGAGTAAGATGGGCATTTATTATTCATAGGAACATTATGTGCACCTGCTACTGCCTGGCCTGGCTATATGGAAGCTGTTAGTTTAGTTTCCTGGTCGTTCTTCCTAAAAAAAAAAGAGCACACCTCTAGAAAAAAACCTTGGGTCCTTATGAGAAGGATGGAGGATATTAACCACAAAAGGCCTACCTACCTGGCTCCAGCCAGGTTAACAGATTTATTTTCCTAAAACCAGAGGTTCAGCTCAAA